CTTCGGAACTTATGGGTCGTTTACGCACCTCCAGTTTCGGTTTCTCGTCTTCTTTCGGGTGCTAACGCAACCCCACTTCAAACCGATGGTATCTTTTCATTTTCTAGAAGGAGTCTCTAAAAGACAAGTTATTAAACGATCGACAGAGACTGGTCTGTGAATTAATTTTAACAACAAAGTGGCTAGAATTCATCGCCAAAAGATTACACGGAAGCCTGGATGCACCCTCGATTCCAACACATGAAAAGCGTTCCAAATCTTTCTCATGGGAGCCTGATTCTACTGATAACAACTATCCACCAGCTGCGGCCGTTAAAGCTCCTTGCCGGCCGAGGTCAACTATCTTTGAGAGTGAAAAGAGTAGTCGCGTTCCACTGCAATTCAGTCGTCCGAAGCGCCCAAAAAGCGAATCAGCCTTTGTCGATCGTTTTGGAAATTTGAAGGAGGACAGCGCTGAGGAGGAAAATGAAAGCTCCAGCTTACAAAGCACAACAAACGACGAAGAGGTGGATCAGTCCAGGAAGCTGCGGGACCTGCAAACACTGGCGTCACTTCTTTCCGAAGCTGCTCATAAAGCATTACTTGTGAGTAACGGTAACTGACCTCTTATTTGTTTTTATTATTACCTTGGCGAGAGAATATTAGACTTCTCAAGAAAATAGGATTTGCCATGTACTAACCATGTACTTATGTGCGTACTGTCGGGCTAACAATAATCAAACACTATTTTGACTATTTTCCCAGCAGTTGTAGAAATCCTAGAAATTATGTTTTTGCGTTTGTGCATCGGCCCTCCAAGCGTTATTGAGGAGATTCGTTTTCTACCCAATAGGTTGTGGAAAAAGTGCTGAAAGTGACTACAAAAATGGTCCAGCTACCTAAATGTAAAATTAAGTGGCCTAGTAATATTTTGCTTTATTTAAAGGTTCTCTGCTTTCATTGCGATAGTGCTGTTCGTTTGTATGATTCTGGAAGTGCTGTGAGTTAGCGGCAAAATCATGTATTTATAGGTTTAGTATGCGTAATGTAAACTGAACACTATACTTAACTAAAGTTCATCAATAAATACCAGTGATCTGCCTTTTAAGATGAATTAACCTGATAATAAATCTACCTTTTCGCTTAACCACTGCAAAATCGTATTTTTGAAATGTATTGGTTAGATAAACTTGGAAAAACAGTCGTATATTTGTTTTCATAAATGTCTCAACAGTTGCTTTTTGCAGCTGGGGCAGGAACTGAAGGCTAATATTATTCCAGACTGTCAAATCGCTATTTCATCTAGTTTTCCTTTGAAATGTATTAACGCCTTAACTTGCCTCAGCTCTACAGGTAAAAAGGCAGACCAGGTCTTGGATTCGCTTTAACCTTTTAGTACTGTTATTATTTCCATCATCCTTTTGGTTGGCTAACCCGCTTGGAGAAATTTGCAAAACTGTTGATTTGCATGTTACCTTATGCATGTAGGTTCTAACAAGCGCATCTTGGCCTCAACCCATATGGTTACTTTGCAATTTTTTTTAGCTAAAATATTGTGTGCATTTGACCTTTCTTTAAACTCCTCTTTGATGGGTTCAGGAAAAGATATGTATAACCTTAATGCAGCCAATAGATAATTCAGTCAACAAGTTAGCTGCTGAACTGCGGAGGCAGCAATATCAAGACTAACCTGCCTGGCACCTAATTCAGTCTGTTTTCACGTCTATCGAATTTGTCATTTATACGCATGCCGATAAAAATAAGTCTTTTGTTTGAAGAATAGTAGATGTTACATTATTGAGCCCACGTGGTCGGTAAAGTCTGTCACTGGCGGCAACTGAATAAATAAGGGGTGTTTTAATAAAAACATTACAATTAAAATTCACAGCTTGTTGTGGCATAAAGTTTTCGGGTATTACTCCACTATAAGTACTTTGGAAGTTCAACTCACAGATTAAGAATCGAAGGCGTTATGAAAGGGTAAAGAGGACTTAAATACTGATTTTCATCTTATTCGCTGCCGTCAGTCGAAGCGTGACAGACGAGACGTGGTGGGGAGTAGAATCGGAGGCAGAAAGTTTTTGACGTCCGATATTCACGCTGGGAGTAAGTAGAGTGGATTTTAGCAGGCGCAATGTGGAGTTAAAAATTAGAATTTAACTTGGCGCTCTTTGACATTTTTGGATTACCGGAAAAGCACGCCAGTATGAATTCCACTTAATTTGTTCTTTTTGTCTTATCTTAATTACACAAAGTCACTTGAACGCCTGCGAAACCATAAATCATAACTTTGAGACAGAGTAGAACATCTGTTTTCTGGCTGTTACTTTAAAAGGAGGTTTGAGCTTCCAACGTTCGTTATAGGACGTCCAAATAGTATTGACCTTTGACTAGCTTATATATTCTACGATTCGATTTTCACCGAAAGGGTGCTTTTTGAAAATGAACTTCCAATCACATCCACACAATCCTTATGTGAAGATTTGGGTTGAATTAGGGCGGGTAAATTTCCCAGTTTTTATATCAATGGGAAAATGATTTTTGTCTCATTTCATACATTATACCTTCCTTGTCCTTGAACAATTAGCATGCCGCGGATACCAATATATAGGTTTCCATCTATTCGGGACTGAAATACTATTAGGTTAGCAACGCCTTTTCCATATAAAAGGGTAATCATTGGCTGTGCTTATTGCGTAGTTCAGAAATGTTAAACGAGCTGCATCTTTGTAGTTTTACTGAGTCTCTAGAATGACTGAACCAGTGTCTAGTCGGACGTAATAAGAGCCCGACCATCAACATAACCATCAAACTTAATATCGGAATTAGGACAAGCTTAGGTTTCAATCAACCACACTCCTGAAGCACAATTTCTGGCCGTTTCCTCGAAAGAGCGTAAGCAGTGGTTACCCCGACAGCTACCGAATTCTACTGCTGCTTTCCTCTACCTTTTTTGTGAGAACGAGCCGAATTGTGCTGGTTCAACTACGGGGCTACGTTTCGGTTTCTCTCTATCGGCGGGGAAATAGAGATTAGTAAAGTAGTTGACGGCATAATGTAGATGACTAACGCTTTACTGAATTAAAGGTAGGAATCTATATGCAACTGCGGTTGCACCATCAATTTCCAATCCAGTGGTGACTCAGTGACGGAACTACGTCAAAATAAGCGGTAAGGTCACAGTGGCTATATTAACCTGAATCCCCATCTATACTCCTGTCAATATAGGACTGTTTTGTTTCCAGTAAGTCGATTTCGCACGATTAGAAGGGGCTACACCATCACCCATATCTCGTTTAGGCCCAAAGAGCAGTGGCTATTTGCGTCTTATTGCTGTTCGGAGCGTAATTTCGCCGAGGTAAAGAGAGAATCTCGGTTCAGAGCGATGACAACATATAAACTTAACTTATTGGACCAAGGCTTGTGCTGCAGCGTAGACCGTCTGTCTGGTGTATTCCAAGTGTGTGTATATTAGATAATTGACTTACCTATTATTTCACCTTCAGTCCGCCTCTAAAAGTGTGTATAGTTAAACGAGTGCCGGGTCGTTTGGCTAACAGAAACAGGTTACTTAGTTGTCATTGTTCTATGGACTTGCATAGGTATACACACAACATCCAAAACCTATTAGTGAACAGGGCATAATGCACACAAATTTGTCAACGTCATATTTAGAGCGTAAACACTAGCACCATAAGACGTAAGCGTTTTAATTGCGAAAAACTGTATTCAGTCGCAAAGCGCAAAGCGTTGAAATGGAGAGAGACAAAAGGCCATTTATTTCAGAACGGTATGATTCTTTCCATTAAGTGCAATAAAAGGCGAAAGTCATCAAAGGCATTGCCTACTACCCTAAAAATATACTGAACTAAATGAAATTACTCAGAACACAACGTTTCTTTGGGTCAGCCATAGACGCGGTCTTACATAAAAGGTGTCGGGAATCACGAATAAAACTAAGTTGTCTCAGAGAGGTTGTTCCGGGTTGTTTGGCAAAGATTGTTTCTGAGTATGATACAGTGGAATTAATGAATGCCCACAGGCTTAAAGGAAACATATCGGTTTATCTCCATATCTACGAATCTTTAACTTGGACGTATGCCACACTAATGCTATGGTTTGAAGCCAATTAAGTAGTTTGTCGGAAGATGGAGCTTTCACAGTCACTGGAAGGTTTCATGGATATTTAAAGGCGCAAATAATTTTAAAATACAAGCAAAACCCACCTTGACGAGCTGATTCAAATCTGCTCGAAATTTTGATCAGTCTCCTAGGGGAGGAGGAGGAGTTGGTAGTTATTCTGTTAATCTGGGTAATTGTTATCTGGCACCCTGAAAATTGAGTCTGTTCAGCGAAATACATCCGTACTGAAATCTTGACAACTACCGTGAACTATCGTTTTCTTTCTCCCCGGTACTTGCCCTTACTTCTGACAGCCACAAGGCGGAAGCTTAAAATAAGTCAATATCCAGCCGGCCCGAACACCTAGTCGTCTTAACTCGCTCAAAAACTGTTGCTTTCTGTTAAGCGATCGCGTGGAACTTATTTTGAACCTATAATTATCCATGGAAGTGGTCTGAGCTGGCAGCCTATCCTTACCTTCGCCGTGCAGGACCGGATTGGTTGAGGATAACACCCGAACTTTGGGTGCTGAAAAGGTTCGTGAAACGGCTTGGTTAAGGCATCTGCTTAGGAGTTCGCTTACTGCATCCCCTTGAAAGGGGACTTTAAGAAATAGGGCCTTCTATTCCACAGTGGGTGTGGTTGGCTTTGTTTCTCTCTCCATCATAATTGTCCTTTTATCACGCGGCTATCGAATGAAAAGTTACAAAGACACAGTTGACTAAGAACAGTGACTTTGAATGTGCGGGTGATTGCAGGCATACGCTCTTGCTACGGAGAGTGTGATAACCCTTGAAGTTGTGTAGGGACTACTTGAACCTACTATGGTGGAGCAAGAGGATGCGTTTTGAAAGAGAACACGTAATCAGGGCTTTCAGAAGTGTTTTATTGCATTCTTGATTCATAGACGCTACTTGACCCAAATCGTAGGATGCCCTATGCTTAGAAGCTGCAACATCAAAACTTCTGCCACAGTTAACAAGCAGTGCCTCCTTTTCGACAGATGAGCTAGCTGTTCACTTGTCTAACCTGGTTGTTGAAGAGTATGCGGTGGTTCCGCTTTGTCTTGAGGCGTCGACCACCAGCTTACGCAGTCGGTCACGTTCTTGTGTGGAATCAGTATTCAAGTGCTGCTTTTATTATACGTAAGCTAGAATAACTTTTTCACATCAAACTTATTTGGTGCCCCGAGCATAACTCTTACTCGGGTGGCAGATGGAGTTTCCTACTATCAGCTAAACCGCAAGCTCCCGCTCCTTGACTCTGTATCGACTGTCGCAGGACGCATACTGGGCACTATGTACGCTGAGTACGATGGAATTTTTTTAAAAAAACGAAATTGTTTTTCTGCTAGCAAAGGGTTTAGCAGAGCTACCCTCTCGCACTAAGCATGTTGACTAGACACTCCTCACGCTCAAGTGGCCAAGAAGCTTCGATGAGAAACCATCACAGCGGACAGAATGATTGTTTTGTTAAGTCTCCTCCCAACTGTCTCGGAATTTTCTGATGAAAAACATTTAGAGGCTGAGCTTTCATGAGGATTTGTTGTTCTGACGTCAACGGTACATTCAAGTTTAGTGTCTTCCTCATGGCGCCACAGTGAACCAACAATACCGTCCGCAAGTGATGATGCGATTGAGTGAAGCAATGGGAAAAAACCGGTGGGTTGGCTGCTTTAAAATGACAGTGCGCCTGCTCACACAGCGTTCAAAATCAACTATTTTTTGGTCTTCAAGCGGTATGACAACCGCTTCTCATCCCTGCTACTCCCCCGAAATTTCCTAAGACTCCCAAGGACAATAAGAGACCATCACCGCGGACAGAGTGATTGTTTTGTTAAGTCTCCTCCAAACTGGCTCAGTGATTTTGTGATGAAAAACATTAAAAGGCAAAGCTTTCATGAGGGTTTGTTGTCTCGACGTCAACCCTATCATTCACATTGAAGGTCTTCCCCATGGCGCCACCATGAATCAATATTACTGCCTGCAAGTGCTGAAACGATTGCGTAAAGTACTGTGAAAAAACCTTGAATTGCGGCAATCGGTAGACTGGCTGCTTTATCATGACAGCACGCATGCTCACAAAACATTCAAAATCAACTATTTTTGGGGGCTTCAAGTGATATGGCAACTTTTTCTCACCCTCACTACTCATCCAAAATTTCCTAAGACTCCCTAGGATAAAGAAAAAAAGCTAATAGGGAACGCGTTTTCAGAAGGATAGAGAGATTAAAAATAAATCGCAGGAAGCACTTAAGAGCATTAGTCCAGAAGAATGCAAAAAAATGTTTCGAACGGTATAAAATCCATCAGAAACAGTGCATATCATCCAATGGAAAGTATTCTAAAAGGAATTCATGTTTTAGCTATCTTAGAGGGGTCAGCACATAATTAGTGCGTTTTGGTCATTCCTTCCTAAGTCTCCCTAAGCAGGCAAGATTTTCCGTGTGTTTTTAGCAACTAATCGTTTTATAACTTTCGCAAACACTAGGCCTAGCTCGAAAAAAGCTTGTCTACCAAAATGATAACATGGTCTTTAAAGGTTATCGACGTGCTTGTTAACGTCTTCTTTCGGGCTTAGTCTGGCCAGACCGAAAGTGGACATCCTCTCCTATAATTAGTATTCCTAAGTGCATTCGTCGTTAGTACCCACTTTTAGTACTTCAGACTGCCGGCTGCGTATTTAATGCCGAATTAGGCTGCATGCAACTGAAGTAATTTATTGTTTTTTTTCTAAATATTTTATCGTTTAATTTTCCCTCAATATTGGCTTCCTGGTTAATCGGGTTACTGTGTTGTTTTTAGTCCGCGACATCAAACGCCGACGTTGAAGAAAGGCACCCTGTCTTCGCCGTGGGGGGTGAGCGGCCTGTGATCAAACAGAAGGAATGTGCCCCAACCTCGGCGGAGGCACAAAAGGAAGATTTGGTCATCCTTAAACCATCTGGAAGCACTGAACCAAGCAGTCAAGGCGTAGATGCCACACACCCACCAAAACCAGCCACGGACATCAGAACAGAGGAGCAGGAGGGTGGTAACAAAGATGAAAACGACGCCGACGCTCAGCTCTCTAACTCGATTTCAGCTGTCTCCGGAGCCACTGATAAATATGACCCGGTAGGACTGCCTGACGGTAAGCGTAGGCATAATTTGTGATAATGCTGGGGCAGGTGGGACGGGGGGATAGATTAATGACCAGGCGTGTTTTTTTCCTATGTTTACTTATATCTAATTATATACTTGGGACAACAGAACCCTAAAAATAGTTATTTATAGGGGGTTCATCGAGATGGAGATTTGTGGAGGGAGATTAATGCTTATAAATTAGAACTAAAAGTATATGAAATCATGTACTTTTCGTTAAAATCAAAGTCATTATCAGCATTATTTAAATCCAGAGTACTTTTTTATTCTTTACATCTATTAACAAGGTCACATTTCTAATGATCGCAGCGTTAAAAATTTAGACAAGGTACACCAGGAGATTAGGCAAAGCCAATAACGTGTGTGTGTGTCCTGATGGCTTCGCCATATCAGCATTATGTCAACTATTTCCATTTCCGTCTCTTTAGATGGTTGTGGTGGAGACTTTCGGATAGTAGCAGATGAAATATGCAACGAGGTAATCAACGTGGCCCGTAAGTTCACACTTCCGTTAACGGATACACTTTGCTCGTGTTTCTTGATTATCTACTATCCTCTTAATTTGATTAACATTTAGAAACGTATGTTTGCCACCTAGTTTGGTATAATATGTCAATTTGCAGAGGACAGCACGTGAACAATGCACATGCAATTTATAAGAAAGATTGTGAGACTGATTTACTTAACTACCAAAACATTATTGCTTACAATTAGTTACATTTGATAAGAAACATTTACTCCCTGATAAATGCATTCTACTTTAGTGGGTATGAAAGATCTACAATGCGAGCCTATAGTAAGAACACGTCAAGACAAGCCAAGCAAGATAACAAACCTATAACGAAATTATCTGCCTAAGCCGATCAGATTAGCACAAAGGCACTGGGCAAAATACCAGTTATTGATACCGTAACTCACACCAGTTAAAATGCTGCGCATAACAGTTCATACGTGAACTTAAACAACTAGAGAATAGTTCAGGTTTAGCAAACACGCGACAACTAAAATAACTTTATCAGGCTGTGTATAAATAAAAGTATGACAAAGAGATACCTCACTTCCTTCCATTCTACCACTTAAGTTTTCAGCAGCAAATACTTTTGCCAGAACTTAGTTCCGAAGAACTTAGGCTTCTCAAAAATGGCAGCATTTAATGTCTACGATTTAACATTGTAAAATATAATCTCAAAATTCCAATTTAAGGGTTGTCCCTCGCGCAAATAAACAAATAATTTGTTTCATTTAGCAGCCATTAGTTTAGTTACTTAATGAACGGGTGGGCTTTGTTACTTACAAATCTGTCATAGGTAAATTAGATGGCTCATCGTCAATGAGGTGGAAGCTTTTGGATCATTTTACTTTCTTACTTAAAGTTTTCTCTATCATTATGCTACGAACATTCCGAAAGGATATTATATATTATATGTGTTGAGTGTTTGTCTTTTGAAATTTGTCGATTACTTATAACTAACATACCTAACATGATAGTTATTGAGTCACATTGTGGGTCCGAAAACGAGTATCTTTCTTGACAGGCAGTAGTTTGATGATAAGGAGAGAATTCCACGTCCACCCAAATATACCAAGAGGGGTTTTATTAGTTGCTCTGCAAAAGAAAGATTTTTTTAGCAAAACCCAACCAATAACACCGTCAGATCTTAAACTCAAATCCGTCTGCACTCCTGCTAGTACATATAGAATGATCGGAAATAACTATTAATTGGATCACTCACAGAAAGTCCTGTAAATCAATTTCAGAATCCTTCGAAGATGAGGTTGAAGCGGCAGCAACGGATCTGGTAGACAATGTCCTCGCCTGCGCTTGTGAAAGACTTAATGAGCAGCCCACCCCTAGCCCGCTGGATCTGCATACCGCAGATAGTGGGATGGGGTCTCTTTTGGAGCCAAGTACGGTGAGTGATGAAGAAAGAGGAGGCGACTCGAAAGTCTCCAGCTCTATACCACGAACAGAACCGAAAAGCCTCCCGGCAGAAACCGCAGAAGCAGCCGTCAAGAAGTTACAAGCTCTTGACGTGACCTGTGAACCAGTTGTTATCCACTCTGTCACTCTTCACACCACAATATCTGGTGGCTACCCTGAAGAAGCCAACGAAAACAAATAGTCGCATTTCTCCCCCATCGGTCCTGCCGAGCAACATTCAGTCCACAGGACTTGTACTAGATTAACTCCTGCCCCTGAGTCCTTGTAAAAACAGAGGAATATACTATAAGCAACAGTAATCAGAAGAGGCTGGTACTCTAACAACAGCTCGGGCTAAATGTGCAGGCATCGGTTTGCACTGTCCCTGCCAAGGCTGTTAATATTATTTAAAATGTGATTACTTCCGAAATTTCGCCCTCACTCCCGCTCTGTGTTGCCTGGGAGCACTCAAATCATCTTGTATTTTGAATAGACTCTGATTATTTACTGCCCCATCTGACTTCATATATCCCAAGCGTTCCTATTTTGACGAAACTAATTGCAACTTGATGATGCATAATTCAACCTTCCCCCAGTGTAAATACATAAGCAGTTCTGATTGTATACATATATATCGGCTACACACTTTTCAGCTGAGAGATCATGATTATGCCGCTTTAGTTACCAAGAAAGCATAAAAGAGACTTTTACTTTTGCAGCTTCACCTGACATACCGCCGAGGTAGACTAATTCGGCACTATAACCTACTTAATTTTGACGAAGTGGAATTGCGTGGTTAATTTACGAAACTAAACACTGTACCCCGGAATGTGGCAAGCCTAGTTAAAAATACTTCTTTTTTCACATCGGCCGATGCTCTAAAAGTTGATGGGAATTTCGGACGAAAACATCGGTGTTTTGTGCGTGATTGAGGGCGGGTTTTAGACGTTTGCTCGTTTGCCGCTTGCTAGAGTGACCGATACTGTGGCCTTTTAAGTTCCTCCGCAATTAACACGTAACATGTCTGGGTTTTTGGCTAATATTTGTGTTGCCAGTGATGGTATTAAGTAAGCCGTGTAGAAAAACTGGTAACATCATAAAAATGGGCTATGCCGTAATTTTACCAATAGGCGTTAGAGTTGTCTTTTACGGCCGATTTAAATGTGGTGTGGTTTGTTCACAGTAATTAGTAACTGTCTACAAACGGTTGCCTGCAAAGCAAAACAAGACAAACTGCTTTTCAGCAGAGGAATTTTCCACCAATCGAAAAGAAATCAACACAAACATTTGAGAGGCTAGCTTAGTTTTTCGTCCCTCAGGTTTGGTCAATCCAGACTTTTAATTATTCAGGTAATAATTCAACCTTAATCAATAATTTTGCGGAAAGAGGAGATTATTTTAACTTTTCTATGCCAAACGTTGTCAAAATCCAGAGACTTGTTTTCAGCTGCTCTGATTTTTGAATGGATCACGATGTGCTTTAGTTTCCTACGGCCACTCGAAGTTGCCTACCATAAGGCTAAGAGACGGTGCAGACAGAATGCTTTTGCTTCGGCCGTAACTGTAAGGGATACTAGGACATAGTGCTGAATAGACAACCACATCGATGTGCAGCCACACCGTATCTTACCAATCTGTTTTAGAAACGTTTGGTATGAAAAAATACCTATAATTTATGCGCACCTGTCCTACTGGGACTGAATTGTTTTTTACTGTTGAGCGATAAAGATATAAAGGCGGGAAAACTTTACTTTCTTAGTCGGATAACTATGCCAAAATTGGAAACTGACGAAAGTACGTTTCAGTGCGGTAGCGTCTCGACGCGTCCCGAATCAAATGAAGTCAATTGTTCTATTTTAACTGTGACACCTTTACTAGTGATCAGCCGAGAAAAAGCTGTTTTCTCTCCTATAGAATGGAGGAAGACCTATTAAATACAGAAGGTTTAAAAAGCAGATAAAATGAACAGCTGATGGCTAGCACGAGTGTTCTTGAAAAGGAAGATAATTTAGTTAATAAACAAGGATAAACTGAGGGAGAGAGGCGATCATTGGACCGGTAATTTTATTTTGTTGGCGCCTCGTACCCTCGTCCGAACCAATCACCATCTATCGCCACCCGAAGGATGATGGGAGTGCGAAGGATGCAGGTGGTATGCGACCTATCCAGCTGTCGATGCCGGCGGTTGTAGCTTGCACGCAGTTGGCTTGGCCGTCCACATCCGCGTAATTAGTTTCCGCAGTTTCTTCATTTGCGTTGATTTTTTTGGCGCGAGAAATATGCAGTAATTCAATTCACTGATACTGGCAATGGAGTTCTTGCTCGTTTACTTGCTCCTAATGGGGTTAATTATCTGTTCATACAAAGTATCCTCACTAACTACAGAGAACGGAGGTCATTACGCTTGCTACCAGACAGCGTTTTGGTAAACTATGATTCTAGTAACTCGCGACTCATGTGGTTGTCACGGCTAACCGTACATGAGGGTACGGTCAGGTCCTGTCGAATAAGCCGCAACCTGAAGGCTAGCGTCGTTCCTTCTCCCGACTGTCGCATATTCTGCTATCCGCTTCCGGCGTAATCAACCAGACTCTATGGTTTATTTACTTTCCTTGCAACTGCCAGCGATCAGGTAAATGAATTTAGCCATCTCCCGCTCTAGCAAAGGGTTACTTTTTGCTGTCACCTGTCATTCAGCTCGATTGCAATGAAGTTAACATTCAGATACCAACTTCAAATGTTCGGAATGTGGTGCTGGCAAGCCAACGATTCCAAGTGCTATAGGACGGCCTCATCTACAAGCCCAGAAATCGGTAAACATAGTAATGTGTCATCGTCGTGTAGCGCTCACCGATCGTATTACGGGATGAACTCGTCCAGTGGTGCTTTGGGGCTCACTCTCGGCAGCATAGTAACGTTTGGAACCGAAATCCCATTAACATCTCACTTCACGTAGATTTTCCTTCAAACGTCAAATGTGCCATGAGACATTACATCATGTCAATTTGGGCTTCTCCTGGGCGATTTGCAGTCTCATCAGATTTACTTTGTACGAGTAGTTTCGTGGCCTTGACCGTCATGTTCTGATAAAGAAATATAGATATGGATATGACAACAAACTATTTCATAGCCTCTTTTGCCAGGAGGCTCCTTCTTTCAGGAGTTGTCCACGAATTGTTTCAAAGAAATGACGGTCAATGCCCGTCCGTAGGTTCTAGAATTTTTGAAAATGCGGCAGTAGTAAAACGAGTGTCCTCTTGGGAAAGCCACAGAATGACCCTGAGAGAATGTCTTGGACTGTCGCCAATCGTCGACCTATGAGCGACATAGAACTTCCGTTCATCATTGTCTGCAAAGAAACACATTGATGTTGTAACTTACCATACTAACAGCCTAGGTACTTGCTAAAAGGC